CATCTGCCACCTTCGAAACACCACCAAAAATCCTCTCTTCCACCATTACTGACACCGATATATCCAAACCCGATTCCCTTTCACCTCTTATCTCTCTTGCCACTCCATCTGACCCTATTCCTTTGTTAAGTGTTGAGGACTCCAAAGCCTCAAAAGTCGACACTATTTTTTCTCTGTTGCCTGATACTATCAAAAACCAGAACAAGGATGAAAAAGAGGGTGAAACTCAATAAGAAAAAGGTGTTTTGAGGAAGATATTGATCAGTACATAAGTTCTCCAGTCTTGGACACTGTTGCTCCCATGGTGTCTCAGGAAAAGGAGGTCGCTGAAAACATATTGGACATTGCTGCTGAGGGACTGGTGAATGGAGAACCTTCTACTATGCCTGAGTCTCAGGGGGAAGGGACTCCGCTCTTAGGAGAAAAAGGAACAATGGTGCTCTTTGAACCACCTGCACCTGAAGAAGCTACTGGGAACCCTGCTGATGAACCTGATCCCCTCCCTGAGGAAACAGGTCAGGAATCATCTTCCTATGTCAGCTTTGACCCTGCTTCTTCTCCTCACTTTGACGCTGAGCCGTTGGAGTCTATCCCTCCTGTTGTGAGACCTAGTGATGAGGATGATCAGGATGATGTGGTTCTCAATGCTCGCTTCAAGATTAGAAAGCCCATGGTCACTCCTAAGCCCCCTTCTAAGCGACCTACCACAAGGTTGCAAAAGAAGGATGCTTTTGACTCTGCCCTGAAGAAAAGCAGAAGGAGTAGCAAGAAGAAGAAGAAGAAGAGGCTAATGAAGGAAGGGGAAATTGTGTGTGACAAAAATATTTCAATAGTTGAGGTGGATGAGGATGCTCAGGAGGAACCAAGTTCCCTGGTTGAGAGATCTCAAAAAAAGAAACAATCTGTTGAGAGTGCTTCAAAGGAAGTTGTTGAAAAACCAAGTAAAAAGTGTGTGAAAGATAGTGTCAAGTCTAAGCAAGTTGTGGAGGAAGAATCTGTGTCTGATGATGATATTCTGGTAAAATCAAATGGTAAGGGCAAGTCCATTGGCAGGTCTGGCAAAAGGAAGTTGAAAACTGTTGGGGAACCCGGTTCTGCAAAAAGGTGAAAAGTGTAAGTGGACTGGGCAAGAAAGGTTGAGACATCAAAAGGTACTGTGGGGTCGCACTTTTGACCCAGAGATTTCTGAAATAGCGGGTATGAGACAAATTCTTGAGATGGTGGAATTTCAGCAGTGGGGCCATCTGTTCAAAGATTATGTGGCCAAAGTATATGAGGATGAGGTACCAACTGTCATTCGAGTTGGTTAGCAAGGTTCTACTCCTTCGTGCTGAAAGAAGGTCCATTACTTCCATGTATGATCTATACTTAATGGAAGCACTAGATGAGTTCCGTTCTATCACCTTGCCTGCCATTATGATTGGACATATACAAAAAGCGGCAGCTTTCAAAGATGGGAACCATGGACTTCCGTAAGGCTTTCTTCTTACGCGTGTCTTCAAGTTCTTTAATGTACTCTTAGGAAATCCCAAGATCGAGACCAAGAAACAAACCTTCTCAAAAACTACACTGGAGGAATGTGAATGTATTGAAAAGGTTGGAGGAATGAGAAGCACTTCGACGATCTCACAGCTAATCAACGCCCAGAATAGTGCCACAGAGGAGATCAGAAAGCTGAAGGCACGGAATGCTATTCTTGAGACTCAGCTTAGTCAGGTTATAGCAACACCAGGACCTTCCAGTTCATCAAGTGAAGAAGTTGCTCGCCTGTCTAAGGAAAATGCTAAGCTCAGGCAACAGGTGGAGAACCTGAGAGAGAAACTGCTCGTAGAGCAAATGTCCGCAAATGCTCGGATTGACCTTGTTCTCAACACTCTTGTAGCCTCCTCCAAGCCTTCCTCCTCTAGTGTCCCCTAATAAAATCTTCCAGTGACCAGTGCCAAGTTTCTATCTTTTGTTTTGATGACTTGTGGTAGTTGTTTTTGTCTTTTTTGTGATGTGGATGGATTTCACCTGTACTGCTCCCGCTTTCAACAGTCCAAACTTGCCTTTGCTGTAATGGCAAAGGCTTATATTTTATAAAAATCAATGAAGACTCTATTTTGTTGTTAAATGCTAGTCTTTTTTTGCTTTTTTTTTCCTATCATGTTGTGTGCACACATATGGCATGAGTTAGCTAGGCTAGACTTCTTTATGTTGATTGCTTGCTTGTGTATTTTTCATGATGCCAAGAGGGGGAAGATAATTTGAAGCAGGGGGATCTGATTAAGGGGGAAGCATAGAGTCCGGGGGAACTTGTGAAGTTCCTGGTACTTTATCTGGTTTATTGTGCTCTGCAAATGGTTGTCAATTTTTAGAGTTTGTCATCATCAAAAAGGGGGAAATTGATGGGTTTAAAGTATCTTAGAGTTATGTTTTGATGATCTAACAAACTTATTGTTAAGAACCAGATAAAGGACCCGATGTACACTTGGTATATATCTCTATCAACAGACTCAAGCTAGTGTGTGTTGTATGACTTCAGACAGAAAAAAATCAACTCAAAGATCTGATCCCTTTGAATTTCCCTGACAGCAGTACGAAGTCAACTCTATAATTGGAAAGTGACTGCCTGCACTGTAAATGCTACAGTACAGAAACAGTGCAGCAGTCACTTCCCATTGGGAATGGCTTTTTACCAACCAAGTGTTTACATCATCTAAGTGATGTCATTCAAAGGATATTAACAAGAAGCATTACAACAAAACATCACTTGAACACTTGTGATATTCACCAAAGCATTCAAGATCTGATTATCCAGCATTGAAGTCACAAGTGCATCAAGAATAAAGTGCAACACTACTACAGACCAGTTCCATAACAAGTCCTTTGTATGTCCTTAATTGAGTTGTATCTTTGTATTTGCTATTTATTGTAATTCCTACTTTGCTTATCTAGAAGCTTAAATTAGGAACCTCAAAAACCACAAACCCGTAGAGCTTGTGTCGTGACTAGAGTTAGTCATGAGTTGAAGTCTTTGTAATAGGTGTATTGTAAAGTGGCTTGTAATAGGTGTATTGCAAGTTAGTGAGGGATTAAGAATTTAATTCCTAGGTTGCAATAGGTTGTAATCTAAAGATTGCTCATTAGTGAAGTTGAAATCCTACCAGTATAGGTCGTGATTTTTTATCCCCTTGAATAGGGATTTTTCCACGTAAAAATCCCTCATGTCATTTACTTACTGGTTCATTAGCTATTTCTGTGGGAACTGGTATAGGACCAGGTCTCTATACAGTTTGGTGGACTCATACATTCTATCAGCTAGCGTTCGGATATAGATTTGATTGAAACTTAAAAAAGAATTTTTGAAGAAAAGATGAAAAATAATTTTTGGAAGTTCAAATTATTTTTGGACATGCATTTTAATTGAAAAGAAGTTGAAGTTTTATAAGTAGAAAAACTTGAAAAACTAGTCTAATTTTGAAACTTGAAAATTCATCTTCAAGAACTGCCCAAAAACTTGTCACTCTTTATAACCAAATAATATTTTTAAATATTTTTTGGAAAAAAGTAAATTAAAAAAAATTATGGCCAAACTAAAGCTTAAATTACTGCTTTAAGATAGCTTGTTACTAACAGCTTGTTTGGATGGTTGTTACCTATTGTATTGTATCGTATTGTTACTTTAAATACGATGTTTGTTTTGATTGTTACTTAAATTTTATTGAATCGTATCGTTAAATTCGTCGTTAAATAATTACGAAATGTGCCACTTTATGTAACGACCGATCTGGTGTGGTCGCGTCGTTACCTTATTTTTTTCTCTCAATCTCACCCTTCATTATTATTAAATAATTTTATTTTATCATTTACCCTATCTTTTTATATACCGTATCATAATTTTTTATTTATAATATTGCAAGTTTATTCTTCATATTGCTGGTGTGGGATATCATAAAACGATGGCAAACGACACAATCTATCCAAACATTGTGTTCATCAAACGATACAGTACAATACAATACAATACGATACGATACATTATGAAACGATACGTAGCAACCATCCAAACAAGCTGTAACTCTTTGATTGATAAAATAGGGGGAGAAATTCAAAAATAGTCAGATTTACAAGTGGTAATTGAAAAATAGCCACAGTTTCAAAAGTAATCGAAATTTAGCAACTTTTCATGTAAAGATAAATCTGAACGAAAACACTATTCAAAATCCAGAAAATATTCTAGCATAATATACTGGAGTTCCAGTATAATATACCGGTCCAGCATAATATGCCGGAAGTTCATACACAAGTGTTCCAATCTCCAGTATATTATGCTGGAACTTTCCGCGTGTTGGAGTTCCAGCATAATATGCTGGAAGTTCATACACATGTGCATCAATCTCCAATATATTATACTGGACCGGTCCGTGTTGCAGCAAAATAGTAACTATTTTTCAATGACTTTGCATACGTTGGCTATTTTTAAATTACCAGTCCGAAAACTGACTAGCCTATGCTATTTTTACTAAAATAGGACTAGCCCCCGACGTCCCGACCTGCCGTTCTGAAGAGGCACAAGTGTACTACATAAAAAGTAAGATGGAAATCATGTGACTAAAATTCAAATCTCAACAAATACAAAATTCTACAAGTTTTTCCCATCTACGTAACATCTGACTGACAAAGTTGCCCAACTTTGATTAAGAGCTAGCAAGTACTTATTGAAATAGGAAAAATACCTACAAATTGACCCGACCACCATTTAATATGAAAAAGACAACATAGAGTAACTAGTCAGATTATTAAATTGGAGAGTTTCTAGTGGCATCCCTGGACTCGGTGGTCGCCGCAGCTAGAAAACTAACCAATTAATGCTTGGAATAAGGCGACCAAAATATTTTCATACTTAATAATTGTGGAGGTTTTTTTCTTCACTCTGTTTTTTTTAATTCTAAAGAAAATTTCTTTTCTTACGGAGAGGTGGATCAGGAGTAATTTTTCAATGATGTTCGAGCAGCTGATAGACCACGCAAATAATGGACATATGATAATCAATTCAAACAAATACATGACCGCATCAGACTTCTTGATTTCTATTTGTAGACTCAGCTATTACCACGTACAGTAAAATTCTGAGTGCTAAAAAAGACAATACAGATTCCAACCTTCTCATCACAGTACAAAGATTTTACTCGCTAAAACTCAGTTCACGATCCAGGTAGTGATCAAGGAAAGCAGGAATTGGTCTCACATCAAGCTTGGTGTCATCCTTTAATCAAAGAAAGCATTTGATGAAAAAGCAAAATCAACTGATAATTTACTCCTAGCTGAGATTGTACTTTCTTGAGTTCAAACAGTTTGTTCTGTCAGAAGAAGATTATTGAAACACCCATCGTCAAACAGCCCACAGCCACCCATGGACTCAAACGTTCACCTGTCCACATTGAAGCATTGTATGACAACTTGTCAAATTTCATGCATGCTGGTTGAATGAATGGATTAAAAGATTAAATTTGCTATGGTAGGATGAAAAAGGACATTCACCATATTCTATTGCTTGATCTCTGTGCTATTTATCCTTTTCTCTTTAATACGCTAGTTAATGTGCTTTAGGTTATATGTAATATCATACTTTAGGTAGAAGGGGAAATTTCGAGGAGATGAGCAAAAACAATTCCACCATTTTCGTGACTTTAGATAAATTGAAGTGTTAAAAGAATCAGAGAACTCTCTAAACAAAAAGAGAACCCCCAAATAGAAGAATAAACAAGTTAGAGCAAACGGAAGAAGAACCACCATGAAGATATAGGAATACAAGTGACATGCAATCACACAAGCAGATGAAGCTTCTAGTTACATTAAAAATGGGGTAAGAGGGGGAAAAAAGGATCATATGTTACAAAATATTATGGATTGGTCAAGCAAGAGAGAGCTACAAGAATAACTTCCTTTCAAGATGATGCACTTATGATATAACAATAATGCTTAACCAGGATTGTGTTATTCGTATTTATTAAAAGTATGATGCCCCTATTTAAATTGTGTGTCCTCATATCGGCAGTGGTTCAGTAATTCATCAACATCCTATTGTATGGTTCGATTTCATAGGATGCATGCCAGTAATCGTTTAAGAGAGATGCGTGCATTATTTTTAACAACCAGCAAAACAGTTTGGAATTCTGTTAAAAAAAAGAAGAGGAAACTAGTCCAGAAAATTCTTCAAAGAAGTACATCAGCGAGGTAGGAGATAACTTACCTATTCTAGCAGCCTTCCAAAAGAAACCTCGAAACCTGCCACGTTTACCATCTAGTAAGGATGTAAAAGAAATATAGTATAAAGCAATAAGCTACAACATTAAGGGGGAGATACATGGAGAACATATTACAGAACTTTTGTTAGCTTCGAAACCTGAATTTTTTTTAGATAGGCAGTCGAAGCCTGAGATGTCCTCAGCTAAAATTACATGATTAAGTCCATTAAAAGCCAAGTAAAACGAGTAGATCCAATTAAAAGTGCCCATGTAATCTTTTTCTCCCCCAACTAGCATCATGTTCAACCTCAATGAGATCATTTTGGATCAGAGTTTCCCATATTTTGTCCTAACAAAGATATTTTCGAGTGAAAGAACATCCACACATGCAGGTTTAACCACCAACTTCCCCAGAGCAATAGAACTACATCGGGAACCCTTAAATCCTCATAGTCGCGTAGTACATAAGGTGGGTCACATGGCTCGTCATTGTGGATATACATAGCTCAGGAGGAGGATAATTGCACGAAACAGATTGTAAATGCCTAATTTTGGCTCTTTTCTTTTCTTCTTTTATGTTTGTTATGTGTGTATGTGTAGGTGTGACACAGATCATCATTCTTGAGCCCCTCAGGTACATGACCATTCTAAAACCTTCAATTTGTGGGGTTAAACCTTATGAAAGACAGAATATGAAGAGGGATATGTTGCAGGAGAGTTCTGATAAGAAGGAATGTGCCTCTCTCCTGAACCCTCCTTCTTATGAGCTATTTCCTCTAACCCGTCTGTGAAGCCCCTACCAACCCCNAAAAAAAATGATGGATGGGGGCAATGAAGAAGGAGCAAGAAAGAAGGGAGAAGGTTCCGACCACAGGGAGGGTGTGTAGAGGGCTAATATGTGTCTTTAGCAGCAAATGGAACCCATCCAACGACAAAATTTACCATGTTGCAGGCTTACATGGTACCCAGTAAAAGAGAAGGCTTACCTGCTGCCTTATAAGTGAGACCATACATGAAATGCCGACCATGACAGAATAATAGAAATACGGAGTGCATTCAGAAAATGCACCAGCAAAAGACATTCTCAAACCAGGCATCCACATAATAAAGGAATAAAAGAAGCATTTTTTTACCCTTTACCACAAGAGGAAATAAAGAAGAAACTGATATAGGAACTATTAAGGCTCAGCATAGGTAACATTGACATGACACTAAGGCCAAATTCCTATCCCCCAGCTATAGAGAGCTACTTATACTTTCTTATAAGTTATTATATTTATATACTCATGGAGAAGACTTACCCAGTTCTCTGTTCAAGAAGTGCAGGAAAATGCATCTTCACATAAGTGCATGTACAAATCCCTAGCAGCACTACCGTCAGAAAGGAGTGGAAATTGAAGAGTGCCGACTGAAAATCCCAGCAGAAAAAATAAATGAGTATCGTACTTGTAAATTCAAGCAGTATTGATAATAATCGTAAACAAACTTACCATATTTAAATTTTTCCTCTCTTAATCAGTGTTGCCTTCCGCCAAGTCTACAAAGTAAAGAAGCATCTGTTAACTCCACTCGCAGAATGTCAAAAGATTTGATGCAATAAAAGGTTTGTGGTGCCTCCTCTTCGTCTTTTGATCAAGTGATGAAACGAAATAACAATTAATGGATGACCAAGAGCACCTTTGTCATTATAAACCAGATCAAATGAGAAATGCATACTCCAACATCAAATTGATACTAGATTCACTAAATAAGTAAACCCTACAAAATAAACAAAATCATAGAAACACAGCCACTAACATTTCACGAGCTATGCTTTTGCTATTAACAAAAATCGGAATCTCTACATTAAACTTTCTGCACTTGGGGGGGAGGGGGGGATCATTTTTGCTCTTTTTTTCTGACAGTCTCTACTCAAGGAACTTAATAGGGAAATCTAGTCAGAAATATTTAGACCCTGAAAGAAAAGCAAATAATAGTCAAAAAGACACTTCAATGTAAAACTTACAACTGTCAGTCAGGAAATTAAATCTCTATTCGCGCTCAAATATGATGTAGCCTGTAGTTATATTACAACTTACAACCGTATTTATATTTCCCCTTTCAGTCAGACAGTTACGGCATTTGTTTAACTCCTTCACTTATCAGGAAAAGAAACATTTCGAACTCCGTGATGTGTGATGCTGAAGAATCAAGGTTCTAGAGTCTCCTCTCCCCTTCTTCTCTGCCTTTTTAACGATATCCTGTTGCAGTTGCCACTGAATCTTCAACTCTAACGATTCTAACCAGCTACTTCTATACAGCAAAATTCAACCAGCCTTTCTCCTATAACCTGCCTGCTTAAATACCTCAACAACAACAACAACCCAGTATAATCCCACTAGTGGGGTCTGAGGAGGGTAGTGTGTACGCAGACCTTACCCCTACCCTGGGATAGAGAGGCTGTTTCCGATAGACCCTCGGTTGCCTCCCTCCAAGAACTCCCCACCTTGCTCTTGGGGTGACTCGAACTCACAACCTCTTGGTTGGAAGTGGAGGGTGCTTACCACTATAGCAACCCAATCTTGCTTAAATACCTCAACTTTGGCTTATATATAACCCATATTAACCACAAAATTTTACTGGTGAACACATAAGAAATCATTTACTATTCCAATCTCTAGATGTCCCAGTACCTGCCTTCTGCAACATCTATCATTGCAATGCTCTATGATTTGTGGAAAAATCTAATCTATGTTATATCATGAAACTATGCATAGCATATAAGCTCCTCTGACCACACAGCAATCAAATTTCCAAGTTGCGAGTGAAGCCACATTGCTAAAATTTCATTGAACTTGAATCATATATTATCGTCTTGATCGNTAGATATTGTCCATATGGATCCTTTACTTTTCATGAAACTATGCACAACATATAAGCTCCTCTGACCACACAACAATCAAATTTCCAAGTTGCGAGTGAAGCCACATTGCTAAAATTTCATTGAACTTGAATCATATATTATCTTCTTGATCGACAATATCCTAGCTAGAAAAGCTTCCAAGTTCAACACTTGTGTTTTAATAGGTAACATTAACTTCCAGTACTACATTGCTTTGTTTCATAACTTAAAAGACAAAAGAGGACATAGAACCTGATATCATATAGAAATTAATATTGAGCAGCAAAAACAACAAGAAAGTGGATCATGAACAAACAAACTCTATCAAATCCCAACATGAAGAACAATTACCAAAAGTTCTGAATACTTAGATAAACCAAACTAACTGAAGATGTACCAATTTTGACTATATTCAGGTTAGAAATTACATTTTAGGATTCTAAATATTGAAAATTTGAACTCATGAATTAATCTTTTGTATTGCAATGGATATCAGGCAGAGCATTAGACTATTATTCATCAGTTCATCAAGCAAAAACAGAAGGAATTAGAATAGGAGACTGCATCACACATAGCAATTTTTCTTTTAAGCAATAACATTTTGGTATCTTTTAAAAGCAGACAGCAAGGTGACTAAAATGCTACTCTAAGTACACATTTCTAACTCGGGTTGGTAATTGGGTAGTTTTTTGCTGCGTTGTAAAGGTGAAAAGGAATTGAAGAAAAGTTTAAAACCTTAAAACAAACGCAGGAAAGGGGGGCGTGCGTTACCTAAAATCAAGAGCCCAAGAGCGTAATTGAGGGAGATTTTAGAACATTTCCTGATCTCCAGATCCAAAGCGCTTGTCTCCGACCTCGGAGAAAATAGCAAGTTGGGCGTAAATTCAAGCTAAATCACCTCTCTATAATCAGAAAGATGATAGGTAAGAGTCTTGGAAATCGGGAGGCTGGTGGGATTGAACTTGGAAGAAGATTAATGAGATATGAAAACCTTGATCTGCAATGTGAAAACCTTGTCTTTTACCTTCTTTGGACAAAAGAAACAAAAACAAAAAGGGAAAATAAAAACGAATCAAATAAAGAAGTAGTAGTAAAAATTTATTGCAAATGAAGCATTTACGTTCGAGTTGTTTTTTTTTTAGCTAAATCAAATTATTTTATTAAATTATATTCGATGGTTATGTAAAATCATATCTATCATTATTAAGTGGGATTATGGTTGTGTTTGGTACGGAAAATATTTTTCAATTTTTTTATATTTGATTGACTTAAATATTTTGAAAAATATTTTTCTTATGAACTCATTTTTCTCTAATTGAAGAAAAATATTTTCCCTTCCAAATTTCTTTTTCAATCTTCTCTACCCTATTCCCCATCCAA